ACTATGAGTGGCCAAATCTACAATGAGAGGGTTTTCAACAAAATCTGGAAGGAGTAGGCAAGGATGCTGAACTGATCATCTGTTATATATTTGATCAATCTACACAGAAAACAATTCCATTTTTAAGATAATAAAGAATGTGGTGTGTGTAAAACATTTGTGTAATTCCTAAGTTGCAGTTTATTATTTATTGTAAAGCCATTGAAAAGTTTGAGTGTCTGATCATGGTGTCTCAGATTAGACACCTTACAAAACCCTCCTTATGATAGACTCCAAAAAACCTGAAACTAGGAAAAGAGAAATTTCTTGAGTTTTGAGGGGAAAGACCCTACTGATGGGTTTTGGCATTCTTCTGCATTCACTGGTTGGTACAATGAAAAAAAAAATCAATAGTTGCAGGCCCTGTACAGGAGTAATAGCCTGCACAATAAGGTGCCTTGCTGATTAACCCACAGTAAGAGCATCTCTGTGGTGCTGGGATAAGAATGAAGGGATTGGTAGAATTGGGGTTTTGTTTATGATTATTTAGACATAACAAAATCTATGAATTTTTCTTCAGTTTTCTGCTCTATTAATAAATACAATTTCTAAGTAAATCTGACATGAGCCAAGTGCTCTGGTCTTAGGAAGACAGTGAGCAGATGAACAGGACAAACAACAGACTACTGGGATCCCATTGCTTCACAGTTTGGCAGAGAATCTCTGAACTATTCAAACTGGAAGACACTCAGAGGATTTTAGTCCAAATTCTTCCAAATTATTTCCTTTTGGTCTTTTCCTTCAAACTCTCAAGCAAGTGCTTACATGTTGAATCCATGCAAAGAAATTTCCTGCAGCTGGCATTAGTTGTACCTCACTAGGAAGCTGGGAGGAAACTTTTGGTGAAGTACTAGAGTTTAGACAGTGTACCAAATTTAGACCTGGATTATATATTTTTTCTGGAGCCAATGACAATTCAAAACTTTTGGCAAAATATGAACTTTATAAACCAAATTTTCAGGACTCCTTCCTTTCTGCTGGATTTATATGCATATTGTGGAAAAATTACACAAAACCATTGTGAGGTCATGATATGAGTTTGTCTCTCATTACAAGATAAATGATCCCATTGTAAGCCCAACTCATCTCACAGGGGTGTGGAAGGGAAAATGACATTTTCTAAGTGACGTTACTCATCTACTTTCACTCTCTATTTTCTTGCTTAAGGTCTTTTCAGTTAATAAAGCCTGTAGATTCTGAAAGCAATATTGAGGAGAGAAAAGTTGAGATGAGAGTATCTTGAAGATTAGCCTTTTTCAAAAAAATTTATGTGACTATACTTCTTACATAGTAATTATAGTAGATAATTATTCCTATCTTTTGAACAGAAATCCATATTTTTTTTCCTACAATCATCAGGACTTCATAAAACAATAATCTCTTCTGTTTCTAGTCCCATGCTTGTATAGAATAAATGGTGAATGCTGGTGGAAAATATGGAAAATGGTGTGAGTTTGGTGGAGAAAGGTTTATCATCTGTTTATGGCCTGTTCACATTCATTTATGACCTGTTCCACTTTTAAAACAAACTCAAGTCCATAAAAATTACACATTTATTCTGGGTATTCACAGGTACCCATCATTTTGGAAAGATTATAATGTTTTTCCTGAATTTAGCTCATGTCATCAGATTTTCTTTAGCCATTAAAGGTTTCAGTCATGTCTCTATTACACCAGGAATTTTTTATGGAAAATATTCTGTAACTCTTGAAGAGAGCCCTGAACGTTTGCTGTAATAGGTCCCATCACTGTTCCCTAGTGGAGTCTCTCAGCACAGTGGCTGGGTTTTCTGTCCTCATTTCCAGTAGTTCAGGCAAGTTCTAGTTCATTAGAGGGTTTACTTATTCATAAAGGAAGAGCTGAGGCATCATCTTAGATGAAGTAAAAAAGAAAGAAATTTTTTGAGAAAATACAGGGTCTATCATGCCCAATATGACTTGGGTTTTGTTGTTTGCTTTCTATTTGTAGGGAGACATCCCTAAAGACTACTACTGAGTGATTGTCTCTTTGTGTTAGGCCAACACTGTAATAAAAGCCCATTTAGAGATGCTTATTCTTCAACTGAGACTCCAGTGACTTTTCTTTATGGATCTCTTTTTGTTCTGACACAAACTCTCGGTTCATTATTAGCAATAAAAGGAGAAAATACCTTGAAGGAGCACAGTATTTGAGCAGCCATTAATTCGTTTTTTAGACTTTCTTACACAAAATTTAATTCTCTAGAACATAAAAAAGAACAAAATCCATGTACACAACTTGCCGATTGTACAGAAGGATTAACAAGCTATTAATGGACCCATCTGAAGTTGTGAGAAGCATCCTCATGCTTGCACACAGCAAGCCATTTCAGGCACTCTCCAGTAAGTTTGAAATACATTGGTGAAAAAAGTGCAGTATGGATAAAAGCACTCCTAGTGCTTGAGTCAGATGTAGGAGGAATGATTGCTCATAATTTTTATTAAATTAAAGTCATAGAAAAACCAGCATGCATTGACCTCTTCAGAGGCTGCGCGTGCATGCATGCAGCGAGGGGATTCAGTGACGTACCTCCTGACCCTGCCTTTGCACAAATAGAGAAGATGATGTTTTCACATACTCAGCTCTTTGATTTCCTTTCCACTAGCCATAATTAACATTTATTCAAACAACATTAGGAAAAACATAAATATTTCAAAGAAGCTAATTACAGCATTCAAAACATCCTCCAAGCTATTCGTTTAATGAGGATATGTTTTGTTCCCGCAATAGTGTAACATTAATTTCATCAAGCTATTAAACAAAACCAGATACAATAGAGAAAGATGTATTTTTTCTCCTGTTTACAAGAATGCTTACTTGAATTTTGGCAAGTTCCTTGAATAAAGGTTACTGTCATAAACCATACAAGCTTCCTATAAACTCAGATTCAAGCTTGGTGAAGTTGCTCTGTCAAAATTTTCAGCAATTTTAGTAGAAATATGATTTTGGTATAATATATAGTCTGACCTTAGTGCAAATATACATTTTTGTTAGAAGTTATATTGTTTTTTCTAGTATATTACAAGGAGGATTATAACTATTCCCAAATCAGATTACCTTACCCATGTATCAGGAAATGCAGTTTTTTTCTTTTAATGGTAATTGGAAGACCAGAAATTTTCTACCTGGAAATTTTTTCCCATAATCTTCAAAATCTCTTGATACATTTTTGTGCAAGTGGTCTCAGCAAAATTTTTCAGTTTCCAGTATTAAAAATGCAGCTTCTGGGCTAATCAGAAACCTTTCACCTGACACTAGTTTAATTCAAGATGTTACCTTTTCTTCAGCATTCTTAAAACACTGTGCACCATTCAACAGGTGCAGAATATTTACAGGTATCCTGTACTCAAATCATAATAGATTGTAATTCATTTTATTTCACCATCTATTAAATATTTAACAAGACTGTAATAATTAAAATGCATAACAAATTAAATTCTTCCTTAGGCTAAAGGTTGGGACACTGACTCATGCAGTTGAATCAAGATAGACTGGGGAGATATCATTCAGGACTGATGAATTTATGATCATTTTATCAAATAAATGTGTTCTGCTCTTATTAATGAAAAACCAGAACTAAATGCAATACCTCAATTAAAACTATTTTTAAAAAGCCTTTTAATTAGGTAGATATAAATACAACCATATATACAAAATACAGGCGTCTTCAGTTTATATACTGCTCTGATAACTGGCTCTCCATTGACACGGGGATTAGCTCTGTCCACAGACATACAAAGGAAAGCTTTGCTACTGTATCTGATAGAGAAGATGCTTCTATTACTAAAAGAATTTTACAGCATCTTATCATGCTGCTTGCCAATGCTTTTGCAATTTTGATGGCCTATCAAAGTGTCCAGGGTGGCAGAGCCCACTTTTTTCACATACATCTGATAAAAGTGAAGGCAAAGAGCAGAGACCAACGCTATGGCTATAAATCAAAGTTTTTCTTTGTTTCACAGTAACAGCAACTGCTCTTGTCAGGCAGATTTACTCCACCACATACTATTTAGCCCCCAGTCAAAACCCACTGAAATGGTAAAAAAGAACCGCAAGTTGTTACGAAAAATGACAATCTCTGCTATTGCACTATTATCTCATTGCTGGACTGTGATGTACTAATTTCCTTAGGAAACAAAGCAACCAAGAGAAAAAAATATAATGTAAAAAGAATGGAAAACAAATCATAAAGATAGACTCTAAACGGGGATGTCCCATCCGGGAACCATCTCTGTAGCATCAGAGCAGCACCTCAGCTGCGCACAACCTTCCTGGAGCACATGGGAGAAAGCAGAGATAGTCAGACATGTGCCACACTTCAAAGTCAGACCTTGCTGCTGGGCTCAGTGTGAGATACAGGGTCAGCACTAGCATGAGCATCTTGCTCATTCTTGGCAGCGGCAATAATCACTTGTTGGATCTGACTGCGGGAGGAACGGCAGACTTGGGTAGCCACTCTGGTAAGCCAGACCTTGCTGCGCTTCAGAGATGGCTGGACCAAACTGCCCAAATGCCTTAACAGATCTGGAGTCTGTGTACTTTTGACTACCATAGATTGTCAATCATTCTTTCATTATCTATAGGTATAAATAACAACTGGGACCAATGTCTGCAGCTGCATTATAAGTAAAATACCTTGCTAAGCGCAGTATTAAGATTTTAACAGCTAAATATTACCATATGCTGACTTCTGTTTCATGGTGTGGCATTGCGTGTATTGAAGGCATAGGAAAAGTCTGGAGGCAGTCACACCTCTGGAGCCGGGGAGTCTCCAGACAATTCAGTGACCAGTCAGCGGATGCTGAGACAAAAGAGTGCCCATCCCCAGAGCCACCGACGGCTTCTCCCACATGCAGGCTTCACGAGGTTTACTCCCAAGTTCAGCTAGCTGGAGGCAAATCAGCTAGTGGGCCCGATTTCGCCGCTTTAAATCACGCCTCTTCTCCCCCGCGCAGCGGGCTGGGACAGTGTCTGAGCGCCCTTCGCCGCCCTCGTCTCATCGCTCGGAACATCCACGGCAGTGCGGGAGCGCTGCCTGCCGCGCCAGTCACCGCGGCTCCCGCAGGGCTCCGGGGGACTAAAACCACGGGTTTCTTTGTTAAGGAGGGGGTTTCATAAAGGGCGTGGAGCCCGGCCAGCGCCTCGGCTCCGTGCGGAGCAGGGACCCCGCCGCACGGCGCGGCTGCAGCGGCCCTGCTGGGGCGGAGCGGGCTGAGTCACCCGCCGCCGGCCCCGGGGGGAGCGGGCAGCCCTCCCGAGCCGGGCTGGGGCTGGGCCACGTGTCGGGGGGGATTTAAAAAATTGGGGCAGGGAGCGAGGACATGCCCAGAAGAGCGGCTGGCGGAGCGGCGGCGGCGGGAGCTCGGCGGACATGGGACACCTGTGGCACCCTCAGCCCCCCGCGGCCGCCCCCGAGCGCAGCCCGCGGCACGGAGCGGACGGCGCGGCGCTGCCCGGGTCCCCGCTGCTCCTCCTCTGCCTTCTCCTCGCTTCCTCCATTCCTGCTTGCAGAGGTGAGGCTCGTCCCGATCGCAATCCCGTCCTGGCCGCCAGCTCTGCCCATTATCGGGGAGCAGGGTGCCCGCAGCCTTGCCAGCCTTGCGGGGCAGCTCCTGGCACTGCTCCGGGGGTGGGTCTGGGGGGCTTCTTCCCGTGTCCCGGCAGGGTTACCCTGTCCTGGCAAAACACTCCAGCACCTTGGGAAACAGGCTTTTGTTGAAAGAGATGTAATTTTAAATATGATTTACTCTGATTTTAAAAGGTAAGAAAAGACTTGAAACAACACGTGTCACAAAATTGCAGGACAAATTAGGACCCTCTGTCACTCATTCCAACCTATAAATATTGTTATATTTATCAGGTGAGGAATCCTGAAAGTTGCAATTTTTGTAGCAGAGGGCTCTTGTGAAACATCCAACGGACTGTTTAACAAACCATACTCTCTTTTCGACTCTATTTTCCCACTTCAGATAGATTAGCTGCTTACAGCTTGTAAAGTAATGTAACAAAATGCCGTGCAAGGACCATTTCTATTTTGTTTGTATTTCATTTGTGTGATTTGCTTTAGTTGTGAGGGCTTTTTCCTGCTTTGGTTTTTTTTTTTTTTTTTTTTTTTTTTTAATATCAATAACCAAAGAAATCTAATAGCAGCCTACTTAATATGTTAAAAAGAAGTTCTGAAGATGTGGAAGAGCGGAGGGAAGGAAGAGGAGCACAACGGACGGCAGTGGCACACAGTATTTCATCACTGTTCTCACACAAATGATTGCCAGGAGCTTGTTTAGGGATGCAGTAGAGGGAAGAGAAAATGTAAGAAGATGTGAGTCCCAGGCTATGCATCTGGCATTCTACTGCCTTGAAAGAAATTGAATTTCTTAGAGATGGCAGAATTGAAGGATAGGAGCGCAAATGTGCTGTTGAAAATGTTGATTTTGTAGAAAGATTTCCTCCTCTGTGTTCCCTTTAAATAGTACTCTTTTCTTCAATAGCACATGCTTCTTTCTTTCTCTCTCTCTTCTCTCTCTCTCTCTCTTCTCTCTCTTGCCTTCTTTTTTTTTTCTTCCCCCATTCTCCCTATGGTTTTGTTGTGAATATTGCAAAAAACCTTAATATTTCACTGTGTGTGCTGATGTGGAAATGAATGAAGTCCTTTAGGTACTGCAGCCCTGTTCTGAATGGGGTGATGAAGGAACACTGCTCAGTCTTTGGAGGAACACAGTCCTAGCTTCACAAAATAGATGGGATTGCATATGAAATAAAAATTTCTGAGTATGTAGAGAAGGGTAAAGGAAAGTGAGGAGTGGGAAATAGTTTATCTTCTCTTCAGAAGTTTATGCTGCAGGCCAAAAAAATGGAGAAAGTTATAATACTCAGGCTTTCTTGCTTGTTCCCTAAGGTTTACTAATGCATGCAAATGAATTTCTTTAGGTCTTCCTGAAAATCCTTGGGAGCCAGTCAATTGCAGAATTGGTGTTCAGAGATAGGCAGGCAATGCTCTGATGGGGAAGGTGTGCTAATTTGAAATATTGCCCTGTCCCACTCTTTTAACTAGGAAACTGATCTCAGGTAGCGCTCCAGTTTGAATACACTAATTTAAGAGCAGAAGACAACGTAAGACAACTGTAGCACCTTTAATTTATTCGGCATTTTTCTTTGAAATGAAACAAATATGGAAATCAGTTTCCTTGTTATGTGAACAACTCAGAGATTTTTTAAAAAAATAACACATCTCTATAGTGTGAAATTAAGATCCCCTCTAATTCTTTCTTGGGGCAAAGCAAACATCCATAAAAATTGGTTGCCTCAAGTCTGCGCCAGTACAAAAATGTGGTTTTGAAATCCATCCCATTCCATTAATGCCTGGAACTAACTACTGTTGTGATTATTGTTATCAGAGGTAAATATAAAACAAATAACATGATGGCATTTATTCCCTGCTCCCTGGACATTCTAGCTAGGTCTAGAGGTCCAGCACCAGTTTCCCTCCCATGGGAGAAACAGCACATCCCCTCACTGACATCACTGCGTGGTGTCTGACATACTCACAATTTGGTGATGCTCATTTCTGTCACTTACAGAGACTCTAACAGTACACTGCTATCAGAAATACACTGCCAAGTAAAATAACAATGTGGTAAGAGGGACATTCTGGACATTGAGCTGGAAGGGATACTGGGCAGATATTGTCTGCAGCCTGGGTGGGGAGAGATAGAGAAAGGAGATCCCCCAAGTTAAGCACAGCTTCACTGCATTGTTATGCAATTAAGAACACATTTAATGTACTAAGGGACAAGCTTTTCCACATCGCATATTCAAGACAGAGGAAACAAATCCAGTCACAGATGAACTATCACCTTGTCAAAACATGTTCATATCATGGGCACTATTTATATGTAATCGTACATTATGTAGTGCATGTTCAATTCTGCAGCTGTAGCATACAAGAAGGCAAGAAGTAGAGTCCAGATCCTCAACTCACAGTGCGTGCACTGGAGGTGAGCAGAGCTCTCAGAAAGCTCAAGGTAGTAGGAACTGGAATGTGATTTTCTGAGTAGGTCTCAGTGAGGCCTAAGTAACCTCCACACAGTTTATTGTTATCATGTGAATGCCCATATCTGCTGTGAATTGTGAAAAAGCATCCTGCTGTGTTGCTGAAATAGAGCAGGCAAAAACCACAGAGCACCCAGGTCACAGACTTCCTCCAACCAAGCAGCTCTCGGCCTCTGCAGTTAATAAGTGTGCTAGGTACGTCTGATGTGGGACACTTACACAAAAGACCTTTGCTGTACAGTATTGCTGAGCACAGTTTGTGCTTCCAGGTGCACCAATGCCATCCCAAGCACTCCAATCAGACGAGGATTTGCAGCTATTGAAAGAGGTAAGCATCATCTGCCATGTGGTATCCTCCCATTTCTTCTCTGCCCATGCTTGCTACAGTCCCACCTCACTATCCAGTGTTTCTCTTGCACAGAGTTCAGCTGTATTTTCTTCCACTACGTCTTCCTGTATGTCTCCTATACTGGCATCAGCAAAGAGGTGAAATATTTATTTTTCCAGGTATTCTGAACAGTTGCTTCAGGAGGATGTTGGTACTAAGTGCTGAGATGTCATTCTGAGAGGAGACTGTCTTGTCTCAATGGAGAGCTATATTTGATAACTGTCAATGACCAGGCAGACACTGTCCCTGGAAGCATCACAGTGTCCCTCACATCTGGTAGCTTTATAGTCTGTACATGATACTCAGGAATGGTTTCAACTCATCCAATCTTCTTGCATCCTCTGTTCTGCACACAAGGTTGGGACACTGTTCAATCCTATCCTAGCCTCTCAATTTACTAGGTAAAGGACAATGTACTGTGTCAATTAGCCCCTCTAACATTTGGCTACTGATTGGTATCATAACTTCCACTGTCATCTCTGAAATGAAAGTTTGTTGAGTGTGACCCATGTGTTAACACAGGCTCTTCCCTGCCCTTTTGGAACAGATGGAGTGGCAGGGCATAACATGTGGAGAGGGTTTATCCTGCAACTTGCATGTCCTGGTGTTGCTGCAACTGTCAACTGTCGTGTTGACATTTAATTTAGTAGCTTTTGATAACATTGGAAAATAAGTGACTCATCAGGGGGGCAGATACAGAGAGTAAATGTCTTCTGATTGGGACAATTAGAGGAGACATTCTGCTTACTGTCATCTCCCCACAGCTCCTATTGGACATGGTGACTCAAAACCTAACCTATTCTAGACTGGCACTTGAATGAGCCCTAGTGATGCTTATCACCCAGGAAAAAATGGTCTCTTGGGAAGTAAGATCCTGATAGCTATAAGGAGTTTTTGAAAATTAGTTATTTACATTCTGTATTTAAAAAGCTATTTTATACATTTCTGCATTGATAAGATTTGCTGGCTGTAAGATTTGTCCCTGTGGTACCTGGAAGCCAAGATAAAGGTCCTGTAGATTTCAATGAAGAAAATGGTATGCATAAGATACTAATTTTTTTTTTTAAATTTTGTAATAGAAGCAATATAAAACTTGCCATTAGAACCAGAATTATGCTGGACTGGAAAGGGTCTAAAGAAAGAGAATTAGATATATAGTCACATACCCTAAATCAGCATAATTACTCACTCATACTAGGTCACTGGGGTTTCATAATGTGCAAGTAAAGTAATAATTCTTCCCTCTTTGCTACTTTACTAGTAGATCATTGAGGAGAATCCCCGCCTCCAAATAAAACTAGTATGTTCCAGGAGTGGTTTTGAGTTTATAAAATTGAGAACTTTGTAACTAAGTATTTTGTTTCATTACTTGTCTCTTACTTCCTTTTGTTTCTTTATGTTAATTAAGCAACCCCAAGCAACTTGCAGTCTCCTACCCTCAGATCACCTTTCTGAGACAGGAGAGAAAATTTTTTGGAGAAGAAGCATAAAAGACAGAAACTACTAATTTTTTAAAAAGAACTTAACAGAAATGGTGGCTTTTCCTCAGCCCTTGCTTTGTCTGTGAAGGTTTTAGCTGAAAGATACCATTGTGTTGAACACAAGGCAAGATTTGGCTTGTTCTGCTACTGAATTATGGTAGTTCTCTGTGTCAAGTAAATAAACAAATAAAAACCAAGTCCAAACAGTCCCCAAGAGGAAACAGCCCTTTTTTAAGCACAAGCTTCCAAAATTACTTTAGCTTGATTTTATCTCATTCATTGCTGACTTCTTCCTCTACGTTTTCTTACCCCGAAACTAGTGAAACACTCAAACACTTGCAAGATGAAAGAAAAAGTGAACAGAGAGGATGTGTTAGCAACAAAACCTATTTGAAAAGGGAATCCTGTTATTAGTTTTAGCTATTAGTTTTTCCACTATGTCTGCTAATGCTTTCTCATAGATTGTCTCTGGAGAAATGAATCATCTCCTGTTCTGAAGTACTCAGATAAGCATTATTTTTTTTAATCTCTTTTTTTCTTTAATGTTTTCTTTGCTAATGCATGTCGCTTAGTGCTTTTTTTTTCTATAAAAATTTTGTAAGAACAATTGCATTTCCTGCTCTATAAAAAAAAACCCAAAAAGCCACTATGTTTTATATGCAGCCTGTGAACAACATGAGTGGCAAAGATTTTTTTTTCATCTAACACTACCAAATATTACATGGAAAAAATAGCATGTACTGATGGAGGTCACTATGATACAACTTTGAAGTTACTTAAGAAAATTGTAAGTTGCTTTTTGTCATCATTATTAAATTGTGCAACTTCTGTTGCAGTGCTGGAGACTTTTCCTTACAGAATACTCTGAGCTTTCAGTGCTGGTAATATTATTTCCCTGAACTCAAATACCTTTTATTCCATTTCTTATTCCTTCCCTAGTAATAACTTTACTAAAAATTAGTCAGTATTACGTTATTCTTTCATCTTGGAAAGGAGACAGAAGGAGGATATAATTGATACAAGGTTATGAACCATAGGGGTAGGAATCACTTGTTTGGTACTTCTTCCAAGAAAAGATCATGACAGCACTGAATGAAAAGAGCTTTGAAAAGACTGCTGAAGACAAACAGTAGTGGTGTTTCACACAGTGTTTTGGAAACTTCTGGCACAAATTGAGTGGTGTGCATAAGATGTGCCAGCACATATCATAATCACTCAAGGGATGCATGTGCCATATGCTTGTAGGGATGCTGTAATCTAATTGAAAGAGTTGTGTTTGAGGATCGATCCTTGAATCCCTTGCCTTAGTTCTGTCATTTTCTTCACAGTTGTGTATAATTCAAAGATATTGCAGAAGAGATTCAAGTTCATAGTTCAGGCCCCAGATGCTTACAATCATAACTTAAAATATGTCTTAGTCTGAGAAGTTTGCACTTAAGAGGGATATGTGGTGGGTAGGGAATAAAGGTCACAGATGCATATGCTTGTTCAGGTCAAGCAAGTATAGTTTGTTGCTGTTGTTTTTCTTTTCTTTCATGGTTAAGGCGCTTTCCCCCTTTGAATGCAAGGTATTTAATGAATGGACCTATAAGGATGCCTTACAGTAGGCAAACTTCCCATGCCATTAGCTGCATTTACCTTTTTCTGAAAATATGCATATTTCACTTGTTTTTATTAATCTGACTTCCTAAAAAACCTGTGTGAACCCTTACAGATAGATGATGCATGTTCTGCTTACCTGTCCACAGATTCTCAGCCTCAGGTGAGTCGGACAGAGGTAACTCTACTATTTGGATACTGTTTGTTATATATAGTAGAATTGGAAGTGTGATACATAAGTTCCCGTTTTCTTTGCATTAGGTATCCAGTACCCTGGAAGAACTTTGTTTTTTGATCATGGGATTTTTCCAGAAACCACAGGTAACACTCGCTTTGTGTGTTAGCATTGCTTACCTAGACTGCTTAGCATTTTTGAAGCCTGATCTCTCACTGTGCCATTGTCTACAATGAATTCTGGGGACCCAGTATGCAAAGTGTCATTCAGCGCTGGAATTACTTCTATCAGTTTTTACTCTGAAATGCCATGTGCCAGAATGTAACATCTTGTAAAGACAACAGGGATACATCAATGTTTGGAAAATTATCTCCAGGTTGAGTACATGGTGTTAGGTGTTTTTTATTGCTCTAGATTAGAAAAACTATGAATTCTCAACACACAAAGAAATTTACTCAATAAAGAAATGTACTCAGGAGAGTCTGGGGATGAACAAGGGAACATCTCATAAACACATCTAACTCTTCTAGCGCAGAGTAATCAATGCTCTGTACAGAGTTTGAAATGATTAGTTAGATTGATATGAAAAGACATATAATACACCTGCCAAAGAAGAAGGATACTTCAACCTAGTGCTGAAAAGATTATGTATTTAATCAAAATTATCCATTGTTCTTTTTATTTTATGAATAAAAGCCTTTCTACCAACTATTATTCCCACAGGATTTAGATGAGAAAGACAACACCAAAAGGGTAAGATGTCTATATATGTCCTACAATCACTAAAAAAAGGCAAGAAAATCATGAAACTCTTGCCCTGCTTTGTAGTAAAACACGACTTTTAATTTTTTTGAACAGTTCTTATTTCATTATTCTAAGACTCATGACTCGGGCAACTCAGATGTCATGGTAAGTGGCATAGAACCTCCTTATGAGTGAGTACATGTGTGCTTGTATACAAAACCAAGGCAATATTCCTTTTTGTAGTAGTCTCTCCAACTGTATAGCAAGCTCAGGTCTGGGAGTTGCATGTTTACAGTACAGAAGGTGTTTTAATAATATAGGAGAGGATGATCAGTACTGTACAGATGTGGGAAAAAAAAATTGAACAAACTCAACAAATCATTCATGGAATCCCAAGTGAATCTTAATCTTGCAGTTTCAAATTTTAAGAATGACATCAAATACTTTTTTCGGGTATTGGAACATAGCACATTCAGTGATACAATGTGCACTTACAGGACCTGAGAACATGACCATAACTATTAGATACTCTTGAAAGCATTTTTATCAATTTTTAATTAAAGTGTATTAATTTGCACATGTCATAAATATATAGAGGCAAAATAGTGTTTAAGTCTCACTTGAACTTTGGATTATATTTTGAATGAAAAGTATAGTTTAAACCATGGCCAAGAATTGTTGCTCAAAAAGTATTCTCATAAACAAACAAGCCAAGTACATGATCCATTCTCACTTCTGAAGTGCAAACATATTCTGTTATCTGTGCGCATCTATGGGCCATAAGATTTTGAGAGAGTTAAACATATTCATATTTTCTTGTTTCTTACTAATCATTCTTACATGCCAATGCCCATTTCTGCCTTGTTCTTTACATTTTTCCAGAAATATGTGGTGTATTTCCTAGAAAATGACATTGCTTATATTGGTGTCAATGTTTTCATGCCACAGCTGCTTTGGAGGCTTTAATGGTACTTAAGGCACAGTGAAAAAAGCTATTTCTGTTGCTGCTCCTGCTCAAAATGTTACTGCATTCCACTGCACCACCATCCTGAATACCTTTGCTGCTGCTCCCAGAGATTACCGTTCTCTCTTTTGGTTTAGCTGTTAAGGTGACAATTTTATAGCCATTCTCAGAGATACTTACTTAGGTGATGTCCATCATTCCTCAGATTTTTAAGCTCTCTCCACTGGCTGCAAGACAGAGCCGAAGTGGACAGCTGGGATGTTCAACAACTACTTCAATCACATCAGATTCCTATGTTTTTTAGGTATTATGATCCCCTACCTTAGGCAGATAGCACAAAATTGGCTACAAAGAAGCAAGTTATTTTTGCCTATTAAGTCCAATAACACTTTGGTAACTCTACTTACTCCATATATTACAATTCTCTTAAGTGCATTACTTTTCGGAGAAGTATTGTAGTAAAAATGCATTAAAAAAAATACATTTATATGAGTTGAAGGTTTAAACTGGTTAATGAAACACAGGTTTTTTATAATTTATTTCTTCCTGAGGACCTCTCTCCAAAATCCCACATAGCTGTGTTTTTCCAGGGTGAGTACTTTGCACACAGTGCCACTGTGCATAATTAGGCTGTCTGCAAGCTTAAAGTCTTGTTGAACAAAAGGAATTTCATGATTGGAGCTCAGATAGAGTGACCAGTGTCATGGTTACAAATGTCTCTTGAGAATGGATTTCTACTGTACACTGCCATTTAGCAAAAAATACAGAGGTTTTTGTTGCCATTTATTTTGAAGTAAAATGAACTTCTCAGTACAACAGAGGTTGAAGCTACTAACTTCCACAGTAGAAAATTCTAGAAGTGTTAGTAGGAACACTGTGTGGAAATATTCTCAGTGCCACTCATAGAGACTGAACAAAGTTTGAGTAATTCCAGGAGTCTGTAAAGCGTTCTGAACTTTCAATTAGTAAAGGTGAGGAGATATAGCTTTTCCCTCCATCACTCTGTGTAGTGTAAAAATAAATGTTGATTCCTGTTTGTTGTCAAGTCAAAACGTTAAAAAAAAAAAGTTTTCAATTAATAAGTTTCTCAAAACTTCAGTCCTTTATTGGTCCATGCTTGGTTCACGAGTCAATACTGCAGAAAGAGACTTTTCTTTTGCATCATAAGGACCAAATTTCACTGTTGCTCATGTATGTGTGTTCGTGTCCTCTCAGTCATCTGTCCTGCATCCTTTACTGCAACTCGTTCCTCACCTTAATGAGAGAAGACTGAAGAGATACAAACTGGACGTATGTAAACTGAAAATCTGCATGCTTATGTTCTTATGCTTTGTGATTCTTGTAGACCTTTCTGCTTATATATTTTGGTTGGACTACCCAAATCTCGATGTCACACAATGTGCTTCAGGAAGGATCATCTTGCTGCTGATCTTTTTTCTTCCTCATATTGGGAAGCAAAACAGAACCTGCTGTACATAAACACACCCGCCTCTCTCCCTGACTAGATAAGGAATTGAAAAGGTGGATGGGTGAAGGAGAAAACATGCTCTATTAAATTCATTTTTTCTCTCCAATTTGAGACAGCACCAGATTTTTTCACAGCTTTGATTCCTCTTGAGCTACAGCCTGCCTGATAGGATATGATCTAAGAAAGAAAACTTAAGCATTATTTGGGCTAGTCAATATAAGAGACTAGGCAAAATGTCTTCTAAAGGGCAGGCATTAAAATAAAACTCTAAGTAATCATACATCTTCATGAATACATTTATTTCTGTATACATATATACATTCAGGTTTGTGAACAAACTTGCGTATTTATTATGGCAGTTTTTTTTAACATCTGCAAACCCTTAGTAATTTAGAAGGCAGGTGTTACAAAAATTACAGATTGTTAGCTTCAGCTGTTTACATAATACCAAACTTCTGATATGAACTCCAACAAGAACACGTAATCCTTAAGGAGGGTATAGTTGTAAGAGGAAAATGACATTAAAATAAATCACAATTTCTTACTAGTAGTTTTACTCTTGATTACTTTTCTGTTCTGGATGAATTTCTTAATCTTGCAACAGCTGCCTATTTTGTTCCTGTTTTCAGTTTTTTTCACATATTGAATTGAAAAATTAGAAAATATTACATATAAATATCATAAGACTCAAATGGCAATGTACAGAAAAATTTTTACCCTTTTGAAATATAAAAAATTATAGTAGTGATCAGATTATAAATCCAAGATGGATGTTTCAAATGCAGATAATGCTAGAATGAGAAGGACAATAGAAATAAAAATCATACAGATGTTCTGTGTACAGTAAGAAACTGAATACAATGCTATATGTGACGAATTGAAGTCAGAATTAAAATCAGTTCTCTAAAATAATGTATAGTTTAAACTCAACTTCCTTTGAAAGCTTCCCTGGATTGAACCTGCTTCTGTAGTTTGGAAATGATGGGGGTCATCCTGTTTTACACAATTGTCACAGCATTAGAAGAGAGCAGATGTGATTCCTTCCTATGACACTTCACCTTATGATGTTTACCCAAGAGATCATAGCACCCCAGTTTTTAGTTGTGAAATACCCCCATTGCTAAATAAAAGCCCTCTTCATTTTAATGTTCTGGTAAGAATAATACTGAGACTATTTTATTTCTCAAATCTCTTGTCTCCCCACCTGCCGGACAGACACATCACTCCTCTCTGATACCAACAGAAGCAGATAAAACACTGTGATTAAGCTTATGTGTTCTCTAATCATGAAGGTCTCATTAAAGCAACTGGATACCTCATGCTTTGTACTTGTTACATTTAAATAGAATTTCTATTTTCTTCATCATTTGTTAGCCTCCTTCCTATATGGATCACTAGGCAGCTGTTTCACCCTGTGTGCAGCATGGACAAGATAGACTATCACAAGTACTGCTCTTTGGGAGTTAATGTGAGAGGCATGGTTATGGTACATCTTTGGGAACAGTCTGGCATCTCATTCCTGGGAGAAGCCCAAGTATTTCTGATATTTAAACTTTGTAATTTTTGTCCTCCTGCAAGATGCAAAAAGCAACTCTATCTGTAGAGATGGCTATCATGAAGACATTCTTGTTGTGCCTGGGTAGTGAACCCTGGAAAATCAGAGGCAAAGGCTGTTCATCATTCCTAGTACCATTCAAAAGCAATCTCACCTGACCTAAATCTTCAAGTGGAATTTGGCTCCATTCATATGTTCTCTTCTATTTCTATATGACAACATAAACTTTGTGTTACTGACATGGAGAAATGCACACAAAGCATTTAAGGAGTAAGACTGCATGTAGTACTGACGAAATATTTTTTATATATACATAAATAACCTCTCTGTATGTACTAATTTACAGCTGTAGATATAATTTAAAATATTTTTTTCTTCAGGAAGAACTCCAAGGACCTGGAGGGATTCAAAGCAGAGGCTACTTCTTCTACAGGGTACGTTTGTTTTTTTTTTTCTTTTTGCTTTGTGGTGAAAGTTAAAAAAAAAAAAAAGTAGAGAAATAACCGAATTATAGAAAGAATTACTGTGATTAAGGATACTTTTTTTCAGTTAGACCATTCCACCCTACAGTACATCTCCAGGTCTGCTCCTGACATTTCCTTGTATTAAAATTGTAGGAATTTTTTAAAAAGCATATTCCTAGGTTTGTGTATAAATGATACCATTCTATGCCTTAAGAAGCCATTGGTTATTTTGTATCTATTTGTCAGAGAAAGTTCTAGAAAATATGGCATCTTGGAAAAATCTTCGTAAAACATTGTTCAACAGGGTATGTTTGCACATGATATAAATATGATCCCATGCTTACACACTGTGCTAGGTCTGACTTTACCATTTTCCTTCTGTTTTGACCAGTAAGGTATGAACCTAGATACAGAAATTCTCATGAGACTGACTCCACTATGTTCATCTTTTACACCATAGAGCCTTTTTACTTCACTTTAGCAAAATTGAGAAGGTGGCATGTCAGAAGTTTGAATAGTTCTCTTGATTTTGGTTAGTATTTCTACTTAAATAAGAAAGTGGCTGATGGCTTTAAATAAAAGTGTGGCTAGGGTTGTATTTGATGATCTTAAAGGTCTTTTTGCAAACTAAATTATTCTATAATTCAAATGAAAAGGCCACAGATTTGTATAGTTACATTTCTTATGTATCAGGCTTGGATCCTTAGAATTGTTATGACTGGCCAAAGTTATGGGTAATATTAACATTGGTGCATTAATGCTTCCAGAGTAAAAGACAAATCCTTTTTAAGCCCAGGAAGAATTTTTTTTTACCAGCTTTAGTCCCTCACCAGTGCAAAATATTCCTGAAAAACACTGCAGTGAAAGGAGAGAAAGTCCTTGCTTATATCAAAGAATACAGTCTAAAAAGAAAATCATTGAGGGTGTCAAGTATTTGTTTGTAAATAGCAACAAGCACTTATAATGCAATAATTATAAAAACCAGAAAACACATTTTAAGAAAATGCAAAAAGAATAAGTGAAGTCACTCTTGAAGTGACTTCTTATGGCTTTCTCCCCTATATAAAATCATACAAGATGGAAAATTCATTATTCAAATCAATATGCAGTAAATTTTAGTGTGTAATTCTCCTCCAGAGGTAGATACAGATTAAACAATAACTTATCTTAGGTCTGTCTTTGACAACAATTATAATGACACTACTGAGAAATTCACTAATTTCTATATATACCAAGTTGTTTGGAGCTTTGTTACTAAATCCTGTCTGTTTTACAGAATATATAACTTACTGAATATTTGTCTTTCAGCCACGTAATGGAAGGAGATCAGTGGATTTTCGCTAAGGAGGTATTTATTTAATGCTTTTGATCATGATCTACATGTAAATTAGTTCATTGTTATCTAAATAGACCATGATATTTTTGTTCAGAAGTTGTCACAGAAAGCCTTTAACTGTGTAATCAGCTTAGACTTCCACCCACAAACTTTCCCCAGATGTGTTAAATACACTTAGATATGTTAATTACACCTACCTTCAGATGAAGTGAACAGAAGCTGTAGGTATTCAGTTCCCAGAACAGAGAGCACAGAGGTGTTTCAGGCAGCAAGAAATGGAAAATATCCCAAGTTTGTAAACAATTTGGAAAGTACTGATGATGACAAGTAAGTCTAAGAAAGAACTGAGTCAACTACCCGTCAAAAGAATGCTGAGAAGTAAACTGACATCCTGAACGTAATTCCCTAATCTGACAAAGATAAAAAACTTACTCTGAAACTGGGAGCAAACTTCAAGATTTCATTTCAATGCCTGCAACTATTTGGAGAGATGTAAAAACGTAGATCAATACTATGTGTTTTCTAATGTATTTTATTCTGCCATCATTTTAAAATCTTATATCAACTTAGAGTTATATCAACAGCTAATACTCCACCTTATTTTTCAGGATTACAGATTCCTGACTTAGAACTAAAACTGCAGGAATGCTGAGTACATGGACATACTGTTTTCCTTACAATAATTATTTGTCATTAATGTACAATTAGAAATCACTCAAATGTAAATATTCTTAAACCAGATTCTGTTAAGAAGGTCTTTACTATCTTGATTATATTAAAAGCATATTAAAATTATTTGTTTCCTAGTGTTATGATGTTTACAATGACATGTAATTCAACTGTAAAAGAGTCATTGCTTGCTAGCAACAGACATTGCCTCTGTTAAGTAAATTTTCCTTTCTAAATAAAGGCCCTCAGCCAGACAGTTGTTTTAATGAGAATGTTTGCAATCAAGACTACTGTGCTTTTTCCAGAATATGTTGTGATTTGTGTGTTTCACCATCTGGGAAAAAAAAAAAACCAAAAAAAAGAGAATCTCTTGTGCCTTAATAAAAGGAACCTGAACAAGTTGCATCTTTTGAAGAAATACTGTGACTTTAATTCAACTAAAATATAATGGCATTCTTTTTTAGCTATTAAGAATGCAGATGCACAATGGTTCTCATTTAGAAGAAGACTTAATTGGAACTGGGGTCACAATTCACTTGAAAACTCAAATGCTTCTGATGGAGATTGAAAGAAACTCTACTCAGAAGCATAAATTAGCCGTACAATCTTCCCAGCTTACCTCACCGAGTTTATTTTCACAACAAAATTTTGTTAAATTATGTTGTTGAGGTTGTAATTATATTGAAAGTAACTAACCATTCAGAACTAGATGATCTTTAAGTCCTTTCCAACCCAAACCATTCTGTGCTTCTATGACTCAGTTTAGAAGTGGGTTAAAGTTTTTAACACTGGTCATGGTTTGAATTGGCTTCAGCATTACTACTCCTGCTTCTGCACTTTTGGATGAGCAATAAAACTTCAGAAGGTAGCTGGAAAAATTATGGCCTCAGAGGAAACCAGATTGAGAAGAACTTTTCCTCTTCTTGCCCACTTGTTTTTGCTCTGCATTTTAATAAGCAACACTTCTTATAATGACATTTGTTCAATATTTAGAATTTAATTTTAACTATTTGCACTTGGTTGCTTTAAAAAGGATTCTGAATTAAACATACAATGCATACAGGTGTAGTGAGAGATATCTATCCAGATTAGCAGTGCACATGTCACTATTGTCTATGTACATGCTCCTAAAAAATAAACTCAGAATCTTTTGAATAGTAATGTCTGCTGATTGACACAACTGCCTTCATCCACTTTCCACTCTTTTGCCATCAGATAGCACCCACATTACTGTTCTACTTCTTCCTAATTGCCAGTGGCACAGAGAAACAGTTTACACCACATTTTGCTTTGATGTTCTGTTAGAGCAAAATTATTTACTCTGAAATCTGGATATTTAAAAGAAAGTGTTGAACAGGGCACCATGGAAATCACTGTTACACATCCTCAGTTGAGCTGAAGATCCATTGGGCCACTGTGTGTTTGGAGGTGTGCTATGTTTGAAGTGTTATAGTCTCAACATTTGTCCAAGTTACACAAGTAGGGCTCATTCTCTTTCTGCCTGATTAAAAGGTACCCCTCACTCTGCTGCACCAAAGACGACTCTGCCACACTAAAGACACTTTCTGTCAGTCTTTAGGACTTTGTGCAATGACCATAAATGTTCACATAAAGAAGTTCTGAATCCCATTTTCTCTCTCCCCCTGTTTTGGATAGTTTTCTGTGCATTTCAAGCCAGAAAGAATGGACAATTGGTTGTGGGTATCCCTTTTCTCTCATGTGCACAAGAAAAATAGGAAAAACAATACCTTGTCATGCATGGTTCCAGTTTTGTGATAGATAATGTTTTGCATATGGGATACATGCCCCCCATATGAGGGTGGCATGCCATTAAAGAAGAAAACTGTATTTTAGTACTGGAATCAAACTGTTCAAAAATTTTAATTGATGAAGTAATTAATTTGACTATTATGAGAAAAATACTTTTCTTCTTCTAGCATAGCACTCATTTCTGGTACAATATGGTTTCTAAATACACTACTGTAATAAAATCAAATTTCTTATGAATTACTATAGTAATTACTATAGTTTCACTATCTAATGCATTAAATTTTTTGTGCTGTAGTGGTGGTAGCTGCAGAACGACAGCATCACAGAACAGGTCAGGCTGGGAGGGAAAACAGTGGGTCATCAGTTCCAGCACCCTTGCTCCAGCAGGGTCATTCCAGAGCACACGGCACAGGATTGCATCCGGCCAGTTCTTGACTGTCACCAGTGAGGGACACTCCACAACCTCTCTGGGCACCCTGAGAGCACAGCCAGCCACACAGCAGAGAAGTTCTTCCTCATATTCAAGTGGAACTTCCTGTGCATCAGTTTCTTTCCATTGTCTCTTCTGCTATTGCTTGGCACCCTGACAAGAACTTGGCTTGGCTCCATCCTTTGACACCCTCCCTGCTGACACTCATAGACATTGATGAGGTTCTGTCAACAGGTCCCCTCTGAGTTTTCTCCTCTTGAGGCTGACCAGGCCCATTCCCTCAGCCTTTCCTCATAAGAGAGATACTCCAGTCAATAAACTTGTGTGGTTTTAAAAGCCAGCTGTGGATCCCTAGTAAACAGCTATTGTGTCTGGTTTGCTTCTTATTCAAGGTAGATTTTAATGACTTATCTATTTCTTACTTCAGGAAAATGTTCATTTGAAGTTTATATTGAAGGAAAGCTCAGGGGAGACCAAATCAAGTCAATAAATACCTGAATGGAGGGTATAAAGTGAACAGAACCAAGTTGTTTCCAGTGGTGCCCCATGAGAGGACCAGAAGACACGGGCACAAACTGAAAAGCTGGAGGCTCCCTCTGAATACCAGAAAAGTTTTTTTACTGTGAGGGAAAACAACTGAAATGTTGCATAGGCTTCTTCCTTGGTGACATTCAGAAGCTGTCTGGACATGGCTCTGGACAGCCTGCCCAAGGCTGATGCTACTTGAGCTGGAGGGTTGAATCAGGTGACCTCCCTTCCAAGCCCAGCCAGGCTACAATTCTGGAAATCTGTGATACACAGCACACTGTTCTTAGGCATAACTATGACACAATCAACATAATTCAACTATTTAATAGGACTAGACTGATCATTTTACTTACAGTAGCAGACAGAGCCAATTTGCTTACGAATTTGGGTTCAGAAAACTTTGGCACCTTGTAGTGACTTCAGCAATTGTTGTTATACCAGACATTCACATGTATATTTTTGTACATATTTTACAAGTTACTCTGCTGAGTTCTGCCCAGCATTGTATTGTAACTAAGAAAAATGAGGCATGCAGTTTACACAAAATAAAAAAGCTAATGTGACCAAAACATTTCTTCTGTCTAGATTCTACCTGTACTTACTGCTGATGAATTTTTAAAATTACTAAAATAATTCTAGGACTAACACACTGTATCTAGTAATGTATTTTCATAGAAAGAAAATAATTAACATAAATATGTGGGAGTTGTGAACCAAAACTATAATGTATTGTTCCTAGAGTATAATAACTTAGAGTATAAATTGTACATTTATAATTTCTTTTTTATTTTTGGTGAAAAGCAGTTCCACAGTGGTTTTCAGTTCCTGTAATTAATAGCTGCTTTTAGTTCAACAAGTTTCATTATTTTCCTTTTCTACCTTGCAAGTATTTTTATAGACGAAGACTGCCATCTACTGACTTTACATTTCAGTTTTCATTGATTATTTTACATATGTTTTTTTAACTGTTTGGTCAGCAGAGGGAATACCCCCTTAAACTAATCTCATATTCAGGATTACACAAATGTTTAGTACCTGCTCTAATGTTTTCTTGTTTCATCTCAAGTGATAAATGCTTTTACAATTTGTTTGTTACTCAAGTTTCCCAAATCTGATACTGATGAATTAAGAAAATTAATTGTAATGTTGTATTATGGAATAAAGATTGGCATAGATGCCTTTCTAGCTCTAAAATGTTAAGACTGTGAGCTCAAGAATTACTCAAATAATTTAAGTAATTGCAATGCACTAAATATTATTTTAAAATGCATGTAAAATTTTCCAAAGATGCCTATTATTATTTTTACTCTCTAATTAAGCAGCAGCACTTGTAGAATGGAAATGTCCTCAGAGGAAGCAAAAGTATGTGAAGCTAAGAGAAAGTTGTGGAAAGCAGTATGCGAAAGAAGTTTACAAATGCTCCAGAGGATGTTTGGGCTATAATTAATCTTTATTGGTCAAGGTAATTACATTCTTGCATAAGATGTAGACTATTTCAATACAAAGAATTGAACTAGCAATTTTTAAAAAATCTAGAAAAATTAAATAAGAATGGCTAATGAAATAGCAATTTCTTAGAAGCAATGGAATCATAGGGCATCTGACCTACTTGATTTGTTAATTCACTTTGTGAGAGTTAATTGTTCACTTTTGTTCAAATACATGGAAGATTTATTTTGCTGTGCATGTTTATTACCTTGTATGTAACCTTACTGAGAACTATGGGTTTCACTAAGAAAGTGGTGTCCATTGTTTGCACTTTCTTTTCTCAGCAGGAGTGGTCCAACAGGATTATTCTACCTTTATTTCCCCTGTGACGTGAACAAATCAAAAGCCCATCAGAAAAAGTCTTAGTTATGCAAACCGAGGAAAGCTGGGGGACTTATTAATTTATCAGTGGCCCTGTAAATTCTCAAATGGCAGCAGAAGTTGTGACAGGATGCAGCAGAAATGTCAAAGGACTCCCATGATTGGTTCTGTGTATGTTAGCAATTCTATCAGATAGTTTTGTAAAACACTGAGAATTAGTACAGAATGTTTAATCATATTTTAGATTCAGACCAGTTTTAGATTCAGCCTGGTTAGAAACTCTCCTTTCTCTCTGACTGAACTGAGAATACCCCTACAGTTTTCTCTTTTCCTTCAAGTTTTTTGGGAGGGAGTTTCTTCTCAATTGTCAGTAAACAAATATTTTTTTCCAGGAGCAAAAGGAATAGGATAACCAAATGAAATTGTTAGAATTACAGCAATTTAAATTTCAAGATCTGAAGAGAGAAAACAGTAGCCTTTCTTGATTTAAATTTGATTTATATAAAGTAGAAGCAATTCTATATTTTGAGCATAAATAAGAACCTCTGAGGAAATTTGTAATCCCTTAGGAATGAGTATGAGTATCCACAAGAATCTCTCATCACTATTAACAAAACTGGCTCACCTGCCTTTGACCTCCAAGGTCCACAGGCCACATCAGATGATTTAACTTCAGCCAGATACAAAAAATCCTAATTGCTCAAAAGGCTGGAGGGGAACAAGAAAATTCCTGTTGGTTTTGGCATTTTCTGTGTCTGTGTTTTCTTCATCTGCTGGTTGGTTTTTGGGGTTTATATAGGTATTTTTAAATAGTAACTATGAAAATAATGAACATGGTAAGGCATGATAAAAATAAAAATATACAAAGGTTTTCCTGATGTTACTTAGGGAATGGAGAAGTATTTAGACGTTAAATTAAAATCTAGTTTAAATAAAGTGAAATGTATGTTACAGATTCAAAAACATTATTTAAACTTTACAATGGACAAAATCAGTTTTAAAAACTTAGGAATGAAACTGAGGCACAGTGCTTGAAGTGTCTGGTAGCTTTACTAACATATTTTGTAGACTGTGCCTGCTATGTTTTTTTACTTCAACAGCTCTTTAAATCACAATGATCTTGGAAGAAGCTAAATAAAATTTGTCCTGCAATTCTTATAACAAATTAAAGTAGAAGCAGACTATAGGAAAAGGTACTTGTGCTCTTCAAATGCTTTAATAACTTCAGTTATTTTACACATCATTTACACTAGAACTGTCATTGTATGTTCTTATTCTTTTCTAGTATCCCAATGTGTTTACTGGTTAATGAACACCTCAAACTGCTGGCCTGAAAGTTTCCAGAAGGCAAGTTTCTCAAAGCCATTGTAAACTGCTGCACTCAGAATTACAAGGTGTTTAGCCACAATATTTATATATAAACTGGTGAAATACAAGGCAGGTTCATTGGATAGCTAAACATGGGGGAAGAGATCTAAAGTCCACTTCTTAAAAGTTGAAAAGGTATTTGATTATTTTTGAAGGGAAAAAAGATCTGAAAAAAGGGCAAATAACGTGCATAAAATTTACATAATTCTGTGGTAAGACTATTGCCTAAGCACGGTATTTTGCAATTTCATGGTAAGATATTTTACTGAGATAAAAACATGTATTGCTTGAAAAAATTTAAATTAAGATCATGTGTTCGGACATAAGTTAGTTCAAATACGGTTTTCTACTCCTTTGGTAAGCCTATTGGTGGATACCTACTGGCAGATACCACTGCTGGAAGCTTTTATTTTCCAGATTCAGAGATAACTAGTAGAAGCATTTCAGAGACAACAGCTTATGTGCTGTTATCTGCCACTTCAAACTAGAACGCTAGCTAGTAGTTTTAAATGTAAATAGGTCATCAGGGACTTTAGATACGACTGCACAGTCCCTTCAAGTATCAAAGCCGGCTGCTATAAAAGTAGCATTGCTTCCTCTCAGCTGCCAGCCTCCCTCCCACTACTGTGGCTGCTGCAAGGGACACATGCACAGTGTGTGACAGCAGCAGCAGATGCAACAGGAAAAGAGCCAAACCTCCCCTTTGGTGACCCTGTCTTGGTTTAAGCAAAGTGATCACACGGTTGTAATTATACCCATCAGATGTGACAAAGCAGCAGCAAAATCCAAGGTAATCTGCAGGTTAAAACCAGGTGTTTCTGGTACTGAGTCAGTTACACTGTTCGGCAGAAAAAGCTTCAGGAATATTAGCCAACCTTGCTTTGCAAGGGTTATGTGGATTGTGACAGGCTTTCAAGTCAACATCCGCTCATTTTAGTATTCTGGAGTGATGTGAAATTTAGTTTTGGTACCAGTTTCCTCAAAGAGATCCTCTTTTGAACAGGCCAGTGTGGATCAAAAAGGAGCACACTAAGCAGGTGGTCATTCTGTGGCTCTGAAGTACATTATGCAGGATAGCGATGGCATTTCTCTAGGAAACACGGCTATAGTTAATGGAAGTGCATTGGAAATGTCCCCATTTCCAGCTCAGCGCAGTCCCACCATTCACCAATTCACAAAAGATCTGCTGCTCCTAATTTGGCATTGTTTAAGAGTTCCTTTGGTTTTCACAGTCTGTGTGAGTGAACCACAACTATCATTACACAGTAAAGCCACACTGATGACAAGAGCAAAGCAATAGTATTTCTAGAAGAATAGTTCATAAAACCACCACACCATCTCTAAGCTGTTCTGCTCCTTCAGGATCCTACAAAATACTGCCAAAAGAAAAGTAGCATTAAAAAAAAGACCTTGTTTAGGCCACAGCTTTGGCAGAAAATGCAAATGTGCATCATCTCCACAGCCGTGTTGCTTGTTTTGATCTTGTCAAAGAATCATTTGTCACTGCAACATTGCAGTAAGTAGGTGTTATGCTCCTATTCATGCAAAGTGTGAAGAGATAGTGCAGCATCCCTTCTTCTGAAGAATTACCACTTATTAAAGATCTGGCAAATTCAACTTTGCGCAAAGTTATTTGTAGCCTCCTGGTTTCTTTGCCATATTCTAGTTCTGATAATTACGCATTTTTGGTGAAAATATTCCTGCATTTTTTCCTTGATATTCCAATCCTGCTGCACCCTATTATCTCTACAACATTTTATCATAAGTGTTATCCTTTGTGCTAAAGATAATATTATTATCTTTCCTTATGTCACATCTTCCTCAACTGAAAGCTAAAATTAGAGTATTATGAATCAGAAACAAAAATAAACTGTTTTACTAATGTTTTTCAGAATTCTTCCAGTGGAAAAGCTCATGATCAGCTCTTTGGGAGCTTTACTGGTAAAGAAGCTCCTGCCCCTACAGTATCTTTGCATAAGATTTTGGTCACAGTTGTGAATCAAATGGGGAAACTGAACAACCTGAAAAGTAACCCAGAAAGAAATCCATGACAATTTGCAGTCAAGTTCTTTATTTTCTTCTAGATATAAACACGAATTAAACTTCTACAGATACTTTTAAATACATTGCTATTTAGATACCAATTGAAAAATAAAATCCTTTTAACTGTGAGAAAAAAATCTGGATTACGTACACAATTTTACTCCTAAGCGTTTTATTTTACAAAAAACGGCTCGCCGCAATGTTTTGCTGCTGGCATAAGATTTATGTTTAAATAGTCCCCGCATATTATGGAACTGTATGAAAAGCCTCGTACATACAAGAGGGTTGAGGCAAACACGTCTGGCCTCTGCCGCTCTGGGAATTTCTCCGCTTGATGTACAGGAAAGAAGAACCCACGGACCTCCGCTGGGACGGGTTCGTTGAACCCCTAAATACCTCGGGGCGCATTTCCCGGACAGGACCCGGGACGTCGCTTGTTCCGCTTTGGGAACGCGCGTGCGACCGCGTTCTGTGCCGGGTTCACGGTGCCGGTGGGGAAGCGGCTCCGTTCAGCGAGCCCGTTCCGCGGGCTCGGCGGGCGGCTCTGCGCCTGCAGCGCGGTGCCGGTCCCGCAGCGCGGTGCCGGTCCCGGAGCGCGGTGCCGCTCCCGCAGCGCGGTGCCGGCCCAGCAGCGCGGTGCCGGCCCTGCAGCGCGGTGCCGGCCCTGCCGCTCGCAGCGCGCCCCGCGACGCGCCGCCGCCATTTCCCGCGGGCGCGGGGTGAGGCCAGGCGAGGTGAGCCGAGGTCAGGGAGGCGCGCGCCCACCGCGCCTGCGCGGCGCGCGCAGCCCTCCCCCGCCCCCCTGCGCGCCAGGCGAGGCGCGCGCGCAGAGCGGGGATCGCCGCCCCGCTGTGCCGTTCCTGCGCACGCGCGGCGGCGGCGGCGGCGGCGGTCCCGGGCTGCCGCGGGTTGCAGTGCGCGCCGGCGCACGCGCGGTGGCGCGAGGCGCCGCGGCGGCCGGCGGCGGTGGGGGCTCGGCGGCGCAGGCGCGGTGGTGTCGGGGGGACTCCCGGGCCCGGGTGCTGCCGTGCCGCCGCCGGAGGAGCGGGAGCAGGAGGTTCAGTCAGGCAGTGCCGGCGGGCGGCGGGCGCGGGGCTGCGCGCGTGGAGCGGCGCTCGCCGGGGCAGGCAGGCGGGCAGCGGCAGCGCGGAGCCAGGTGAGCAGCGAGCGCGGCGCGGGGCGGTGCGGGCGGACCCGCCGGGCCCCGGTGTGCGCTGGCGAGAGGAAGGCGGGGGCGCGGCGCGGAGGGGAGCGGTGGAAGTTTGACAGCGCCGGCGTGTGTCTCCCGCCGCGAACCGGGGGGCGGGAGTGCAGCGGCTGCCCTTGGGCGGGCACGGCCGGGGGCGGGGGGCGCTCGCGGGGCACCCGCTAGGCCCGGTGACCCACTTTGCTCCTGTCACAACTCCCGGGCGCGGCGGGAGCGCTGCCCGCCTGGCCCCACGCCCGCGGACCGGGCCGGGCGGGCGCGGGACTCCCCGGCATCCCCCGGGCCGGGCCGCGCCGGGCCGAGCAGGGCTGCGGGCGGCGCCTCCCCCCGCGGCCCCTGCGCCGCCGCTCCGTGGGGCGGTTCGTCCCGCGGGAGCCGGGGGGACGCGCCCGGGCCCGCCGCCCCACGCGCGGGGGAGGTTTCGGCGGCGGCCCGCGGAGCGCGGGTGTTGACACGGCGGGCGGGCGGCGGTCGGTGCCCGCTCGGCCCCGGGCCCTCCCCGCGGCGGGACAGCTCTGCGGAGCCTCGGGCTCCGTGCGGTGGCGAGAGCGTGCCCCGCGCTCTCCCTGCGGCAGGTTGGCCGCAGCTGCGGGGTTACGTATGCACTTCGTAGGCTTTTATTTTTCCCCTTGTTTTTGGGTTACGATAACTTTATTGCGATAACCGCAACGTGTTCACGCTCGTAAAACCTGAGGGATTCTCAGTAGATCCCGGTCCTTTTTCGAGTTAACTGCGGCCTTAAAGTCAGTATCTTTAATGCTCCGTGCATGCAGGTGTGACATACCAGCAGCGAGGGACTGGAAATCCATGGTACTTCAATTTTGTGTTTGGGTTAAGTTGGATCAGGATTTTTGGTTGGTTTCACTTTCAAATTCCAGATATTTTTGGCCTCGATATAAATTGGAAATGTTTGGGTTTTTTCCATGGGGAGTAGTGCTTGTGAACTAATCAAGCATATTTGCAGTGAGACTTTTGTAAGGCCGTTGTTTTCATATACTAAACAGATAACCTACCAAGAGGCATAGGGAAAGTCAGGTATGGTTTTGGCTGGAATATGTAACTCTGAATAGACGCAGAGTGGCCGATCATAGAACCTGATGCTCTAAATCCTTAAAGCAGGTATTTTTTCTTCAATGACTGGTTAACAAGCAGTGCTTTTGGTGGCAGTATTGACTTGACCTGGTCTGCCTCTTCCTTGCTCCAGCTGCACCAGCACAACGGTTCTTGGAAATTGGTCCCGTAACTAGCTTGAGGAAGTGATCCAGGTTAAAATTAACTGCCTTGGTTTTGTGTTTTCGTTTTTTCTTTTTAACGTGGTTATATTTAACCTATATAATTTCTCTGGCTAGCAGGTATAACAGGAGGCAAGAGGATTGTTTAAGCAAATACTCTAGAGAAAGAAGTACTTGAGAAATACAGCTCGACTGTGGTAGTCCTGGCAAAGTTCAGTATGAACAGTTGCAGTTGTTTCACAATGTTCAGTTTTACAGAAATAATATTGACTTTGTTTATAAATGTCTGTGGGGTTTGGGCCTGTTATTTGAAAATGGACAGCATTTGATTGTTGTAATAGAGAGATTCTAGTTGAAAGTAATTTTGCTTTTAATTTTTTTTATAAGTTAAACTATTAATTTTCATATGTATCCACTTAAAACACTTTCTCAAACTTGCTACAGATGCTGCTTTCAGATTACCAGACATAATGTATTTGGTTTAGGTTTTTGTAGAATATGGCAACTTTATCTGAGAATTTAGTTGGTAAGGCAAGGGTTACTGCTTCTTAACAAACAATTCAAACAGGGAAAAAAACCCCCAAACTTCCGGGTTGATATTTAATAGTTTCGGGTGCCATTCAGCTATGTCTTGTCTTTTTTTTCTTCCGCTTCATGCTCTTACATGGAAAAGTTTTAACACATTTAGGTAAAATAAAAGAATGTGAGGAAAGGAGAATGTTTTTGTTACTTATGCTCTTCTAAGGACCTCCAAACCTCTGCT